TCTTATATGTATATGGAGGGATTATTGGGTCGTCTCAGGAATGTTGCTGGGGAGAGGCATGTCTGGACTACCATGACTAAAATGCTGACACCACAGCCAGGTTCCAGGTAAGGTACAAGCTACATTTATTTTGTTTAACAAAGGGCTGCACAATGATATGAAACTCCCTTTACACTACAGCACATTTCCAAAAATATTTAAAATTAGAATGGGATAAATACAATATTCATTTGCTTTTAAGCATATATTATACAAAGGTAGTGTTATGATAAGCAGCAGAAAATGGATGGAAGGGTGGGCATTTGGGTTATCTGACAAAATGCATCAGCTATTATGATTTCTCGCATCTTGCACATAAAATCTGCAGAATAACTACAGCTGTCAGTTAAACGTCATGGAGGAAATCATTGGATGCTGTACTGTTCTGTGATTTTCGTTACATGTTTCATCATCTGCCAATAAGACATCTATTGTTGCTATCATACTCAGTCAGCAGGCAGTTCCTAAAAGTCAAGCATTAATTGAATTGGTTCAAGAATGTCCTGCCCTCTGTTCCAAAAGGTGAGAAAAACAAGAACCAGTCAACAAGGTAACCCCTCATCGTTGTTCTTTACTTCCTTTCATTAATCCCCCACAGATTCTCTCTTCTATAGTAACCCAATTACTGTCCCAGTCAATCTTGGGCCCAAAGCCATTTGGAGCCACTATCATCGGTTGGCAGCACAAGAAAAAACAATAATGGACAAATAGCTGACGGCGTCTCAATATCTAATCAGATTACTCTGCACTTATCTGCAGTGAGAGTAGGATCAACAAGCGCTCTTCCAATTGGGCTGTGAAAGGAATTTACTTTAAATGCACAAATTCGAAAGAGAGAGAGAGAGAGATCATTGCTTATTACCATCCATCCATCTATCCATCGTCAACCGCTTATCCTGCGCACAGGGTCGCGGGGGGGCTGGAGCCAGTCCCAGCTGACATCGGGCGCAAGGCGGGGTACACCCTGGACAGGTCGCCAGGCCATCGCAGGGCCACACATAGACGAACAACCACTCACGCTCACACTCACACCTAAGGACAATTTAGGGTAACCAATCAACCTAGCCTGCATGTTTTTGGACGGTGGGAGGAAGCCGGAGCACCCAGAGAGAACCCACGCAGACACGGGGAGAACATGCAAACTGTACTTGCTGTGAGGCGACAGTGCTAACCACTGCACCACCGTGCCGCCCGTTCATTGCTTATTACGTGATTCAACATTTCCCTCTCTCATACACACGCCAACGCACAAACACACACAAAGCAGTCCACTATTTGCCCCAAATGTCTGTGATATTGCAACAGGGTGTAGGCCTCCTCACACATGCCTGAAAAATGCCATTAAAGACTATTGCTCAAGGAGAGACCGCAATTCCACCCTTTTTGGTAATATAAGTGTTATTATTTTACTCACTGCTTGTCGCTATTAGCCTACATACTAATTACAATGAAAAATACATTATTTGTGATTAAAAATAATGGTTGTTGATAAATGAATTAGAGATCCCCACAGATGCATGATTTTACTGCTTCTGTGGGAGCTCAGACCATCCTTATGGGAGCTGAACTCACACTGGCGCCCACATAACTCGAACCCTGACACTAATACAAAAAAGCACTGAGTGAGTGAGTGAAGCAAGGATTATACTTTCAAAAAAATCGTTATCAGATGGGGTACCAGAGGCTCTGTGCTGACATCCTCATGTCTCCTGTTTTTTATGACTGTGCGCCGACTACGCTACCAGGGCACCGACCGATCTACTGCGCATGTGTAGAACGAGTCCGCCAAGCTGATTCCAGAAAGAAGTATAAACTTTTTCCTCCACTCCCTGAGCTGTGTTGAAGGTTCAGTGTGTAATATTTAGGAGGATCTATTGACAGAAATGCAATATAATATCCATAACTATGTTTTCAGTGGACTATAAAGACCTTACATAATGAACCATTATGTTTTTATTAACTTAGAATGAGCCATTTCTATCCACATCTATATACACCGCGGGTCCTCTTACATGGACATTGCCATGTTGCGCCGACATCCATCCATCCATCCATCGTCAACCGCTTATCCTGCGTACAGGGGCGCGGGGGGCTGGAGCCAATCCCATGACATCATGCGAAAGGCGGGGTACACCCTGGACAGGTCACCAGTCCATCGCAGGGCCACACATAGACAAACAACCTGTTGCGCCAACATGTTTCAGACTAACTGATTTAAGAGCGTGTTTCGTCACTACGTTGAATACGTACAAGAAGAACAACATGTACCATTAGTAGTAGTCGACTGGTTTATTAGAAGTAAGAAAAGATATTTGAACAGAGGATCACACATATTTTTTAGCACACAGAGCTGGTTGGCCTCAGTAGCTTCTGCTGCGCGCTTGCAAAGAGAGGGGTGAGCAGTGACTGATGGTGCATTCATGTGATGTCGGAATAATCAGAATCTTTTTTTTTCTTTACATTTTTCCTTTACTGCCTTGTCATTTTCAAGTGCCTCCTTTCAAAATATTTAAAGTAAGTACATTCCAAACAAGGTTCAATGTAGAAGGTAGATTAGAATTGTCATTATAAAACTTGGGGTCGTATAATCACATGAAGTTTGGCTGATTTTTGATCTTAAGTGGAAATAGAAGAAACCAGATAGTTAATTGTGTGGTTAAACTTTTCTTTATGGCCAGAACATGAGAAACACTTGATGCCAAACAGTGGATCACTTAACAAATCTGAGGTAGAAAATTCAAAACAATTATAATGATAAAATATATTTTATATGATTATCAAATCTTTTCCTCAACAAAAGAAATATCTTAATAGAAAATCTGTTCGTAATTCAAATGAATTATATCAAACAGTTATTGACGATATATTAAACATTTGTTATATTGTTATTGAGGCAAATGATATTGCAATAATTATCATTATTGTTTAATATCACACCCCTAGCTGAGGATGAATTAAGGAGTTTCACAGCCTTATTGTCGAAACACGTGTTACCTATGACAGAAATACAGTCATTGGAAAAGGAAACCGGGGTTTGGATAAACGAGCAGCGGACCTTAGACGATCCACCCAGCCAGAACCACTGGACCAGGCACCATGGTGGGTGTGGTGATCACCCAGAGGAGAGGAAAGATAGTCATGTTGGCCCAGTATGGACTTAAGGCTGCTCCTGGTTAAGGTCTAGTCTGGCCAAAATGGGACTTATGTTGGCCAAGTAACGGAAATCAGAAACTGTTGAGACAACACAGAGACCTGCCCCATCAAGATTGCAGATCAAGCACTCGACGGGCGGTTTGTGCTCCGAGCTGTCAGCTCAAGACTCCGGAAAGATGAGTGAAAGTGGATTCTTGTGGCAGTATAATGTTCACCATGGCGTCTCAAGACTCTTTCACGTCAATGATGCTGGGCTGTGTGCACAGATCTCACTAGAGGATGTCAGGCCCTCATGCTAATCTCATTGTGTCTATTTCTGACAGTTTGGTCATTTTGTATGGCTCTGCAGTGCTCCTCCTGTTCCTCCTCGCACAAAGGAGCTGATACTGGTCCTGCTGCTGGGTTGATTGATGCCCTTCTATGGCCTTTTCCAACTCTCCCCATGTAACGGCCACTCTCCTAGTATATCCTCCATGCCCTTGAGACTGTGCTGGGAGACACAGCAAACCTTCTTGCAACAACACGTATGGATGTGCCACCCTTGAGGACCTGTACAACCTGTGCAACTGGAATGGGCTGCAGGTACAGCCTTATGCTACCAGTAGTGACAAGGACACAAGCAAAATGCAAAACTAGAGAACACAACACAACACACAACATGAGAGAGCAACTGTCTGTTCCCACCACCTGCAAAACCATTCCTTTTTTGGAAGCTGTCTTGCTGTTGCCTCTCCAGTGCACCTGTTGTTGTTACTTTCATTTGCACCAAAAAAAGCTGACACTGATTCACAGTCTCTTATGCTTTCTAACTAGTGTTTCCCACAGACTGACAGCGTAACTGTGGCACGTGCGGGGGGGTGGGGGGACTGCACAAGCAGTCAATATTGACTAACCGCTCTATACAACATACAAACCTCGACAACCCAGCTGTATTCTACCGTTAACACAGCTTTCCTTTTTAGCTAGGCTCCTTTATGCTTGCTAATAACTAACTAACAAGAACAAGAGTGGCTTTTTGACAGAGGATTCATTCAGCCAGAGTTTGGGAATGAAAACTGGATTTACTGAGAAGAGTTAAATTTGTTGTATTACTGAAGAGCAGAATAACACGGAAGCTTTCTGTGAACCATTACAGTCTGCTTTAGAGGCACAAACTTAACTCACAATCAGAGGGTAGGTGAGTAGCCAAAAACTGTATTCAAGTAAAATTACTGTTACTTTGCAAAAACAAGTAGTCAAGTAGAAGTAAAAGTAGTCATCAAAATAACTTACTAAAAACAATTAAAGTAAAAAAAAAAAGACAAACTTGTGTAGTGAGTAACTTTGTGAGTAACTCAAGAAATAAAAAATAAAAATCAATGGGTCTTTCCCCCAAGTCTTTTATTTGATGTGGATGTGACTAGAATTATTTCAGATGGTCTTCCTCAGGTAAAGTTAAAGAAGTGAACACCTTATTTATTTGTGATGAAATGACAAGTCATCATCTCCTGATTAGATAACCTGCCATATTTATACCAGGACCAAGATTTATTTATTTTAAGATAATTCTTTGATGTTTCATAATTTATTGCCTATTAAGTACAGGTGTCTTCACGTTTACCTGAGGAAGATCATCTGTGGTTGAAACATTACATCAGTAATCAGAGTAGTTTACCAACGTAAACTATAATAAAACATAAGTTGACTAAAACAAATATTGAAATGACTAAAATGTGAATAGAATATAATTTGCATTTGCATCAGATGATTAAAACAAATCAAAATTAGGTTCCAAAATGAACACAGGTGTGGTGATGATGAGGTGTTACCTGCAGTTCACCATTGAGCCGAGGCATAGAAGCAGCTCTGCCCTGGTTCTCTAGACCTGAGCCTGGGACTGGGATTATGCTGCTGGCCCTGGTCTCCATCTTCCTCATCTCCAATGACTGCTAGAGATACATACACACACAAACAAACACAATCCCATTCGCAGGGTTAGGTGTGTGGGGTTGGGGTGGACTAATTGTTACATTTACTCTTTGCTTCTCCTTGTAGGATGTAGTGGCATCTAGCGGCGAGGTTGTCGACTGCAATCAACTGAATACCACTGGCCTCACTCCCCATCACACAGTTATATTTATGGAACACTGCATAAGATGTCTTCATTTCAACTGCACTTTTCTATGTATATATTAATTTGTACTAACCCCTAACTGCACTGCTTGTACATAGGGCCACTACAATTCAGCAAATATGCAATATCCAGAAGTACAATAAAACAGAATGTGACCAGCACAGAATTGAGTGTGAGAAACTGATCGGCCTGGTCACAGCTGATAAAGATGAAAACCGGCTGTTTCCGCTCACGGCCAATCGATCGGTGCATCTCTACTAATAATTATATAAAATAAAGGCACCCCACTCAACATTAAATCAAATAAAAAAGTATTAAAAGGTGTTCATTTACACAGTTAACAAACAGCAAACCAAATATAACATAAGCTATTGTTATCATTTATAGTTCAGGGTCCTCATGCAGTATAGTTGATGTGAATTCCTGGATATTATTTATTCATGTGCAATTTTCTGAACTGGTCCCAGTATTCAATTTTATTTATATAGCGCCAAATCACAACAACAGTTATCTCACAGCGCTTTTCATAAAAGAGCAGGTCTAGACCGTACTCTGTGATGTTATTTACAGAAGCCCAACAGTTCCCACCAAGAGCAAGCACTAGGCGACAGAGGCAAGGAAAAACTTCCTTTTAAGAGGCAGAAACCTCGAGCAGAACCATGGCTCAGGGTGGGCGGCCATCTGCCTCGACCGGTTGGGGTGAGAGAGAGAGAGAGAGAGAGAGAGAGAGATGTAAGGAGAGAGAGAGAGAGATGTAAGGAGAGAGAGATGTAAGGAGAGAGAGAGGGGGAGGGAGGCAGCCTACACAATATACACACAGAGGTACACACAGTGAAGGTAATGTTGCTATAGACTAAATGAAAAATGGTACAGATATTTATAATAGTGTTAATGGTAACCATCGTAATGTTAATGATTATAATAACAATAATAACAATAAGACTAGCAAAAATAGTCGTTGCAGCAGAGGGTGTCGAGCAGGAACACGGGGGCAGCAGGTGACCCGCAGCCACAGCTCCAGACTCCACAGCTCCAGAGCCAGAAAACCTGCAGGAAGTGATAGGAGAGAGGAGAGAGACGAGAAAGCACAAGACTACCAGAAAGGGGAGAAGTTGTGTTAGTAACATGCAATAATGGGATAAGGTTGCATACAGAGGGAGAGAAAGTAGAGGAGAGAGGAGCTCAGTGCATCATGGGGAATCCCCCGGCAGTCTAGGCCTATAGCAGCATAACTAAGGGATGGTTCAGGACTACCTGAGCCAGCCCTAACTATAAGCTTTATCAAAGAGGAAAGTCTTAAGCCTACTCTTAAATGTGGAGATGGTGTCTGCCTCCTGAACCCAAACTGGAACCTGGTTCCACAGGAGAGGAGCTTGATAGCTGAACGCTCTGGCTCCTAGTCTACTTTTGGAGACTCTAGGAACCACAAGTAACCCTGCATTCTGGGAGCGCAGTGCTCTGGTGGGGTAGTAAGGTACTATGAGCTCTTTAAGATAAGATGGTATCTGACCATTAAGAGCTTTGTAGGTAAGAAGAATGATTTAAAATTCTATTCTGGATTTTACTGGAAGCCAATGCAAAGAAGCTAAAAAAGGAGAAATGTGATCTCTTTTCCTGGTTCCTGTCAGAACACGTGCTGCAGCATTCTGGATCAGCTGAAGAGTCTTAATGGACTTTTTCGAGCAGCCTGATAATAAGGAATTGCAGTAATCCAGCCTAGAAGTAACAAATGCATGGACTAGTTTTTCTGCATCATTTTTAGACAGGATGTTCCTGATTTTCGCAATATTACGTAGGTGAAAAAAGGCGGTCCTTGAAATTTGCTTAATGTGAGACTTAAACGACATGTCCTGATCAAAGATAACTCCAAGATTCCTCACAGTGGTGCTGGAGGCCAGGCGATGCCATCCAGGGAAACTATATCTTTAGATAATGCGTCACGGAGGTGCTTAGGCCCCAGAACAATAACTTCAGTTTTATCTGAGTTTAACATGAGAAAATTACAGGTCATCCAGGTTTTAACATCCTGAAGGCACATTTGAAGTTTAGCTAACTGATGAGTTTCATCTGGCTTGATCGATAGATATAACTGAGTATCATCTGCATAACAATGAAAGCTTATGGAATGTTCCCTGATAATATTGCCTAAAGGAAGCATATATAAAGTGAAGAGGATTGGTCCAAGGACAGATCCTTGAGGAACTCCATGAGTAACTTTGACGTGCATGGAGGACTCATCGTTAACATGTACAAACTGAAATCTGATCCGATCTGATAAATAGGACTTAAACCAGCTTAGAGCGGTTCCTTTAATGCCAATGAAATATTCCAGTCTCTGCAATAGGATCTGATGGTCAATGGTATCAAATGCAGCACTAAAATCTAATAAAACCAGTACAGAGACAAGTCCTTTGTCTGATGCACTGATTTCTATGTACTAGAAATGAGAGCTGCTCCTTCCCAAGTGGGATGGATGCCGTCTCTCCGGATCAGACCAGGTCTTCCCCAGAAAGTCTGCCAATGATCAACAAAGCCCACATCGTTTGCTGGACACCACCTCGACAACCAGCAGCGGAATGACGACATGCGGCTATACATGTCATCACTGGTCAGATTTGGCAGGGGTCCAGAGAAAACTACGGTGTCCGACATTGTTTTTGCATATGTACACACCGACTCAACATTAATCTTAGTGACCTCCGATTGGCGTAACCGGGAGTCATTACCGCCGACGTGAATAACAATCTTACTGTATTTACGTTTATCCTTAGCCAGCAGTTTCAAATAAGACTCAATGTCGCCCGCTCTGGCCCCAGGGATGCACTTAACTATGGCCGCTTGCTTCGCTAACTTCACGTTTCTCAAAATGGAGCTGCCAATGATCAGAGTTGGTTTCTCAGCGGGTGTGTCGCTGAGTGGGGACAAAAGTTAAAAACGTGAACAGGTTGATGATGCCCCGTGGACTTTGAATGCTTACGACTATTCCTCCTTCGGACAGTCACCCAGCCCCCCTTTCCTGGCTGCACAGGGGATGCCGGAGGACGGCTACCACAGGCTAACTCAGGCCGTTCCGCACCGACTACCGGGGACTGGCTAGCTACAGTAGCTAAAGACTGATCTACCAAGGTGCGGAGCCGGACTTCTAAATCACTGAGCCTCGCCTCCATGTCTATAAATAAACTACACTTATTACATGTACCATTACCGCTAAAGGAGGCAGAGGAGTAACTAAACATCTGACACACCGAGCAGGAGAAAGTAGGAGAGAGAGAGGGAGAAGGAGAAGCCATCGCTAGCTGCTAAGCTAAAGTCGCTAACGGCTAAGCTAAATTACTGTAGCGTCAGCTACCAAAACTTTAGAACAACTATGAGATTGAACAGCAGTCACTAAAAGATGGAAAGAACTGTGAGTGCTTAGGCAAAATTACTGTAAAGAATAAGTGTTTAGCGAACAGTTGGCCGCTGTAATCAAACAAATGTAACTGTTATTTAGCGAGAGCAACAACACGGTAGCAACACACAAGCACCGGAAACGGAAATGAGTCGACACGCTTACCGCAATACGTCAGCACGTATCCATTTGTTGGTACTGAAGCAAGTCACATGACATGGTTGAGGTGTGTTTGAGACTGAGAACATGACCACAAATACTGATAATCTCTATATCTTCTAAAAAAATTTGATTCTGCAGGCAAAATACATTTTCACATACACAGTACGTGTTGGAAACGTGTCTGTCTACTGTACCTGAGTGACATCAGTGTCCGGTGTGTCCTCTGATGGGCCTCTGGACGTGGTTCTCTTAGTCTTTGCTCGGGGCGCTTCCTTGGGTTTCTCCATCACCCAGGAAGATGATGCCTTGATGTGGTCATGACCTGGCCTGTGTGTTATAGCAATACTCAGTATAATAATAATACAGTGTAAATCTTACAGGTCAAAGGTTTACATTTTCATTTTCATTTAGTGCATTAGTGCTGTATCTACACTGCATGTGAGCACAGTTTAGGGGTATCGGGGAAACCTTGAATTACTGTGCAATAGTCATTGATACACTTTGTTCTATAAGTATTACTTTTGGTAAATTAAACAGTGAAAAGAAATCCCATGTGAAACATTTCTGTTTACAGCATGTTACAGTGTATTATATTGTTAAATGTCCCATGTTTAGATTTTCAGTCATCCAGGTCATAGGATATCTATAAATGCTAAGTCAAAGGTAAATGGAACTATAGTAGTTTTCTTAAGGTTGTTTCAGCTCTCCTCCAAAAAGCATCTTTAGTCCTGACTGAGTGGTGGGGAGACCCCAGCATTTACTATAATAACCAATGCCCAAAAAAGAAGGGGCTCTACAATACCACATATTAGCCACTTACAAAGCTGTCTTGACATTCTGTCCTAGTTTAAAGTTTGGCATGCGTCACTGTAGGTGTGTTTTTCTTCTGACCCATTCACACCTTAATGTCTGTGTCCATGAAATCACTAGTCCCCATTAAACTCACACCTTGTAGTTTATAGTGAGCATTGAGCAGTAAACAAGAGATTTTGGAACTTAGTATCATTTTATGTCATCAATGACAGGTGTAGTATTGCACAACTTAAATTTTCACGTATATAAAATATGGAGAATTGCATTGTGGGATTCTTACGAGGAAATTGTGTACATGCCATAAACACAAATGTTTTGTTTCATTGTGGGGATTTCATTGCATTGAATTGATGGTAAGTGGTAAATTAAAATCCTCGAAAGTAATAATAATTATAGCAGCGTTAAACAGCCCTTGCCTCCATGCGCATGACAGTTGCGTTCTTAGCACCAGGGGTTGGCAGACTTGACTCTGAATCTTTGATGTCGAGCACTGTGCAATAAAGTTCAGATATGTCAAGTTTGGTACATGTAGTTTAGTTAGTATAGTAAAGTTTCAACATCATCCTGTTTCATGGTGAAACATGCAAACAGTTTGCCATTTGTTTAGAAATAAATCAGAAATACAAGATCACTTTGAACGAGCACATTAATTTTAGAGAGAGAAAGAGAGATTATGAATTATCAATTACACTTTGATTCTTAACATTAAAAAAGGTGACATCCCAAATTTAGCCTGTGAGACACACTGAGATTTCAGGCAGTCCAAACTGAAGAACAGAACACCCATTAATTAACCACGGTAAACCAAATTAATAAATTAACAAAAGATGCCATTCTTGAACATTGGATGAATTAGACCAAAAGCCAAAATAAACTTATTGTCTCTTCATTTCTTCAGTACAGACATTGTACAGGTCTTTACACAGGCTTCCTGTGTGTCAAAGAACTGCTTTTAAAATACTGCTTTTTGTATTTTTGTATTTGTATTGTATTTTGTACATTAATTTAATTTTTTTTTAATTGTATTAAAAGTATTTTTTATTGCCCTATGTGCTTTATGTTTTAATTCAAATGCCTTGTGGTTTAAAATTGCTATACAATTAAATTTGACTTTCCTTTCTAAAGAGCATGCACTAATTGTATGCCATGTTCTTGTAAGCTGTATGAATAAAAAAGTATTTTAATCAATTAAAGGGGCTATATGTAGTTTTTCAATGAAATCACTTATTACTAAATCAAATCTTCACTGCCTTTTTGTCAATGGGCTGTAGCGTCTTAGAAAAGAAGCACACACCTGTTTTCTCTGTTGCTTGGAACTTTTGCTGTTTTATTTACTCATCTAATGAAATGTATGAAATTAATTGTCCTTATGTACTTTATATGTAACTTTGGCAATATTGTTGCTATACATTCATGCCAATAAAGCTAACTTGAATTTGAACAGCCACTATTCTGCTTTGTGTAGGGAGGTAGATTTATTTTGTCACAATATAACAGGTTATATAGTGAAATTGAGTTTGTAACTCAACTCAACCTGCTACATAGTAGACAATATACATTAATATAGAAGTAATTATACAAATAGTAAACAGAAATAAACTATATTCAATGGAGCAGTGCTGAGGATGAATTAAGAGTTTAAGAGTCTGCTAGCTTGTGGGAAAAAGCTGCTCTGCAGTCTGGTGGTGTGGCAGCAGAAACTTCTATATCTCTTCCCAGAAGGCAGCAGGGTGTACAGGCTGTGGCTGGGGTGTGTACTGTCCTTTACTATCCTTTGGGCATAGTAACGTTAGTTACTGAATTTAAAGCAGGCATGTGAGCCAACACTGATCTATCTCGTCTAAATGCAGTAAAAGTACTGTTATCATGAACGAGCATGGATTACTTCAACCTCAAGGTGTTAAAATTGCACTGTAATGGTGCAGTTGGAATTTCCTGCATGTTGTATGAAGCTGTCTTTCTGTCTGTCTATGGCCGCTGTGTAAGAAGTATAAAAAAAAAAAAAGGGTTTCGCACATTGCAAACAAAATCATATGTAAAATTGAGCAGGGCCTATATCACCAGGTGCAGCTCAATTCACTGCCCAAACTCACTTACCTTGGTTATAGCGCCACCTGCTGGAGGACATGTATAATTTTTGGCGTCTGCCGTGTGTGCCCCATTCTATACTATGACTCTCACATACCTTTATTCTCCTTTCACATACATACAGATGAAACTCGAAAAATCAGCATATCATGCAAAAGTTCATTTATTTCAGTAATTCAACTTAAAAGGTGGAACTAATATATTATATAGACTCATTACATGATAAGTGAGATATTTCAAGCCTTTATTTGATATAATTTCTATGATTATTGCGTACAGCTTATGAAAACCCCAAATTCAAAATCTCAGAAAATTAGAATATTACATGAAATCAATAAAAAAAAGGATTTTAAATACAGAAATGTCAGCCCTCTGAAAAGTATAATCATGCATATGTACTCAGTACTTGGTTTGGGCCCCTTTTGCATGAAGTACTGCCTCAATGCGGCGTGGCATGGATGCTATCAGCCTGTGGCACTGCTGAGGTCTTATGGAAGACCAGGATGCTTCAATAGTGGCCTTCAGCTCTTGTTCAGTCTCATGTCATTCATCTTTCTCTTGGCAATGCCCCATAGATTCTCTATGGGGTTCAGGTCAGGCGAGTTTGCTGGCCAATCAAGCACAGTAATCTCATGGTCATTGAACCGGGTTTTGGTACTTTTGTCAGTGTGGGCAGGTGCCAAGTCCTGCTGGAAAATGAAGTCAGCATCTCCATAAAGCTCGTCTGCTGAAGGAAGCATAAAGTGCTCTAAAATGTCCTGGTAGACGGCTGCGCTGACTCTGGACTTAATAAAGCACAGTGGACCAACACCAGCAGATGACATGGCTCCCCAAACCAACACAGACTGTGGAAACTTCACACTGGACTTCATGCATCTTGGATTGTACGCCTCTCCATTCTTCCTCCAGACTCTGGGACCTTGCAAAATGCAAAATTTGCTCTCATCAGAAAAGAGGACTTTGGACCAGTGAGAAACAGACCAGTTATTTTTTTCTTTAGTCCAGGTAAGACGCTTCTGACGTTGTTTGTTGTTCAGGAGCGGCTTGACAAGAGGAATACGACATTTGAAGCCCATGTCCAGGACCCGTCTGTGTGTGGTGACTCTTGATGCAGTAACTCCAGCCTCAGTCCACTCCTTGTGAAGCTCCCCCACGCATTTGAATGGCCTTTTCCTGACAATCCTCTCCAGGCTACGGTCATCCCTGCTGCTTGTGCACCTTTCTCTTCCACACTTTTCCCTTCTACTTAACTTTCTATTAATGTGCCTTGATACAGCACTTTGAGAACATCCAACTTCTTTTGCAATTACCTTTTGAGGCTTCCCTCCTTGTGGAGGGTGTCAGTGATTCTGCACAACTGTCAGGTCAGCAGTCTTCCCCATGATTGTGAATTCCACTGAACCAGACTGAGAGACCAATTAAACCCCCAGGAACCCTTTGCAGGTGTTTTGGATTTATTAGCTGATTAGAGCGTGACACTTTGAGCCTACAATACTTAACTTTTTCACAATATTCAAATTTTCTGAGATTTTGAATTTGGGGTTTTCATAAGCTGTAAGCCATAATCATCAAAATTATATCAAATAAAGGCTTGAAATATCTCACTTTGCATGTAATGAGTCTATATAATATATTAGTTTCACTTTTTAAGTTGAATTACTGAAATAAATGAACTTTTGCACGATATGCTAATTTTTCGAGTTTCACCTGTATATTTTCACTCACATATTCATACATTTTCACTCTCACATACATATATTCTCCTTTCACATACAGATATTTCTTCACACAATCATACATTTTCACTCTCATATTGATATATTTTAATGCACACATTTTGCTCATGCACATGCAGTTAATGTGCAACATTTAACATTATATATAATATATTTATGCAAGAGAAGAATATATGTATTTAAGAGAAGAATATATGCATGTAAGAGAAGAATATATGTATTTAAGAGAAAAATATATGCATGTAAGAGAAGAATATATGTATTTAAGAGAAAAATATATGCATGTAAGAGAATAATATATGTATTTAAGAGAAGAATATATGTATGTAAGAGAAGAATATACGTATGTAAGAGAAGAATACAGGTGCTGGTCACATATCATCAAAAAGTTGATTTATTTCAGTAATTCCATTCAAAAAGTGAAACTTGTATAATGTATACATTCATTCCGCACAGACTGATATATTTCAAGTGTTCATTCCTTTTAATTTTGATGATTATAACTGACAACTAATGAAAACCCCAAAATCAGTATCTCAGAAAATTTGAATATTGTGAAAAGGTTCAATATTGAAGACACCTGGTGCCACACTCTAATCAGCTAATTAACTCAAAACACCTGCAAAGGCCTTTAAACGGTCTCTCAGTCTAGTTCTGTAGGCTACACAATCATGGGGAAGACTGCTGACT